TTTTCATAGGTTTCACTGCTAAAGTTCCCATACACTGCAATAGATGAATTAGTGAGTACTTGTTTTGTTAGACCATTAGTATTACAGTAAAAATCCTTGAAAAAGTTATTGAATGATGTTTAACTGGGTTTTTAACAGTGTATGTTGTTTATAATTACCACAAAACAGTCTCACTGGAGCTAAAGAGCTAATTTGATATTGTGGAATGCCAAATGGCAACATTGTGATTTTAAAAAGTTGCTTATATATCACTTTCTATCTTGTTCCATATGTATACCATATTGATTTATTTTGCTTTCTGCAAAACTAAAAACAAATTAAAAATGAATCCTTTAATTCTTGGTTTGCTGTCAGTGAGAATAATTCAGAATGATTAGTTACTTATCTAACTGGAGAATATAATTACTGTTGGATGGCTGGAAACCCTTGAAGTGTTGCCAGATTCAAACTGTCATTGGGAAAGGAGAAATCTGCACAAATGATATCACTCAAATTTTCTGGGCATCTTTCTATGAGATGAATTGCCAATACCATTGCTTTACGACTGACGATTAAATTTACCCCGAGGAGTCCCATACAAATATTTGAGGTTCTATGTGGAGCGCATAGTAGAGATGCTAATGAAGCATATTGTTACTTGGATTGGTCAAGAAAATGGCTGCTGTGTAGTCTATTCAGCTATCTGAGTTCATCACCGTATTTTGATTAGTGCACCATTTTACTATCCAAAGAGACATGAACAGATGGTGGGCCAAAAAGGGGGCTCATGCTACTGCAACTTCACAGAAAGAAAAACAATCATAGAATCCCTACAGTGTGGAAACAGGCCCTTTGCCCAACAAGTCCACACTGACCCTGAGAGCATCCCACCCAGACCCATCCCCCTAATCTACACATCCCTAAACATTACAGACAATTTAGCATGGCCAATCCACCTCACCTGCACATCTTTGGACTGTGAGAGGAAACCCACACAGACACGGGGAGAATGTGCAAACTCCACACAGACAGTCATCTGCGGGTGGAATTGAACCCAGGTCCCTGGTGCTGTGAGGCAGCAGTGCTAACCACTGAGTCACCATGCCACCCTAAATAATGGAAGCAGATGTATGATTTGGAGTGATATGATCTATCAGAATGGAAACTGGTGACTTTTATTATATCCCAGTGGGTCAAATTCAATAGGGAAAGACTGTTGTACCTCTGTATTCAAGATCTCAGTTACATCAAGCTACAGTATTTATGAAAGAACATTGTTTTCTGTGCTTATCCTTCATTGTTTTGCAGACCATCCAGAAATGTTTGGAAGGACATAACTTGCTTTTCTTTACTTTACATTTAAGTAAATCCTTCCAGTGGATTTGTTTTTTACCCCATAACATATCTTCAAATTCATAAATACATTGTGAATTCTTAGGTTTCACTGCTGAAGTTCCCATACACTGCAAAGTTGCAGAGCAAAGGAAAGTACTTGACACAAATTGCTCTAAAGGCACCATTTCCTCAACATGGGAAGAAACAACAAAAGAAGAGGAAAGTAAGAACCACAGTGCAAAACCAACCAATGATTTGCAAGATAGCTAAGATTGCAAGGTTTATAGCTCATTACAGAGGTGGTTAGCAGGAAAAAGGTCATGCTTTGTCACTCTCAAAAGATAACCATTGTATGAGCTATCATAATTAAATGATATTATGTTGTAGAAGATGACATCATAACTTCAAACATTGCAATTTACAGATGTATGTTAAAGAAAAAGTCGAAGAGTCATCTCCTCCAAAACAGATAGTTTCTTTAGTATAACTGATCCAGTTCCTGTCCTTGTTCTTTCTTGACAAATGAGCACTCTTGGCTTGTCAGCAGAGCCGTGTGCTGGAAACACAGATAAGTGCTGGATTGCGCAATCTAGTACCACTCTGCTCAAAGCACTTCTCCCTGTTTACAACTTTATCACTTTCCTTTGCATGGAGCTTTTTCTATCAAGCCTTGTGCAAACGGCGTTGAAAATGTTTTATGTGTGGTATTATTGTTCCTTACTGCACGTCATGCAGTTTTGGTTAAAAAAATTACTTTTTGCAAAATGTGCTTTGCTCCCCATGAGTGCAACAAACAATGATATTGTGCAAAGGATGATTATATCAATATGTAAAATGAACTACGCTTAGTTTTCTCTGGATGCCAGTGAATCTTTTACTAATGTGCTGTCTCAGGTGGTGGATATGATAACAGTAGCCACTATCTCTTCTATCATTTAAGTAGCATCTGTGTTTTACAACTGGGTCATTTAAGAGATGGTAATTTATTGACCTATCTGATTTGCAGTCAATATTCATAGAATGAAGTCCTATAATTTTATTAAATCAGGTGCTAGAAACATTCTAAAGAGGAGGATGGGCTATCTTGGATGATTTGGCAGAGCAAGTCATATCTGCTACAGCATGAAGTCAGTTTTGTTAGGACTGACAAAAATCAGGACTATAGTGGATTATTTAATGACAATGTAAATCTCTGGAGGTAGAGACCATTCTTAATATTGACCAAGCTATTTTCCCTAAGAGTCACAGTACATTGCAACAACATTTGGCAATTACCACTAACTTCCAAAAGAACCCAAAGACAGGCTTAGGGCTATTACAACTCACAGCTGTGGCTCTCTGGCTTCATCCTAAAGCTGTGCTTCCAACTTTGGTTGGGACAGCTGTTGAAGTGCTCCTTTAGAACAGATGTTCTAGAATCCACCTTGAATAAGGGGAAAATATATGGAGAAGACTGACCAACAGACTACCATAGTGTTAGTGCAAGCCTGGAAATTGTACAAATGACTCACCCACAACCACATCCTCACAAGTTTCCCTGTGCTGATAAGATCTGTTGTGCTACCCAAGCTTCATCCTCTGCATCTTGACCCAAATCTTTAAATGAGAATGTTACAATGCCAATAGACTGAAGTGCCTGGTGTCACACACTGAATCCTTCTAAAACCATATCCGTTGTATTCTACCTCCATTGAACCACTGTAGAAAATAGGATCTGCATATCTGCATGGATGGCCAGAGATTACAGCATGATCCCAGTTTCTACACTTAGCAAAATATGGCGATAAACTCAGATAGCTGAATAGATTACACAGCAGCCATTTGCTTGACCAACCCAAGTAACAATATTGCTTATTAGCATCTCTACTATGTGCTCCTAATACCTAAAGAAAACATCAGTAAAGATAAAAGTAGCATTAGCTTATTGACCAAATTCATTTGATGTATGGGGATGTTGGTGTCGCAAACTCCAGATCTCCATATTTGCTGTATCATACTCTACAACAGAGTACTGTGTACCTATCTGATATACGTCATGACATATGCATCTTGTTGCCACTTAATTGAATGCGACACAACTGGAACTCTCTACTCAACCTTCCCTGGCTTCCTATGCTGACAAAGATCACTCCCTCATGTATCTGCCTGTACAATCCATCTACTGCCTGCTGTGCCTCACGCAGAGTTACAGCCCTGCGCAATATCTACCAGCAGACATGCTTTATGTCAATAAATGGGAAATATGGGAAGTCACAAATAAGTTCCTTCTGACAACTCCACCTATCAAATGGCAGGCTATGAATTGCCACAATGACAGTGGTCCTTGCTAATAGGATTCAGAACAATCCCTACGTAGCGCTGGAACCTCAGTACAAATCTCCTCAGTATTTATGAAGAAACGCTAACAATACTGCATACTGTAGAGTGTCCACCCTACAAACTAAGAATCATTAACTACTTAAAACTCAGCAAATGTGGAGGCTTTTGCTTGGATTTGAGGGTTCACATTTAAATACCCTTGCAAATAAAAGTAGTCAGTACAATTGTTTTTGTCTAGACATTCTCCAACCTATTTAGTGTTTTACAAAAGGTACACTTAATTTTGCCTAATTTATTATAATTTTGGTCTGTTCTCCCTCTCATGGTCCTGTGTCCACATCAAAATTTTTATGAATTATTGCTATGTATTATTTCTAAGCAAATATACAAAATTTAAGAAATGACAGATTGTCTATGGACTAGGCACTGAAATGAACAATTCTTTCATAAACATTGATTGTCTATTTCAGATTATAATTAATGAGTCATATCTGTCATATTACTGATCAACCAGCAGAAAAATACATTTAATATTGAATGCACTGCAAATATATGACAACAATACCACACAAAATATTTTTTCCCTGAAATGGCCTCTTAAGATTACATTTGTGTAATATTGTGTTCTCAGGCATTTTCTGTCTGTGATGAATGACTCCTTTTTTTTAAGGTGTTTATTTCTAATTTTCTGAATACATTGAAGATGCTTGTGCATATCCATGGAGTTTTGCATAGGCGTGTTTTAATTGTTGTGTGGCTGTACTTGGATTACAAATGTACATTGAAGTTGGGGGTTTGGCACATGAATGGATCAGTCATCAGTAATGAATTACAGCTCACACATACTTTATACAAATAGTTATAACCTTCTCTAGGTCAGAGAGCTGGGCCTCCTCAACTGGACGTAGTGCTTTGCACAATATCCAAAAGGGAGAAAAAGAAATGTTAAATAAAGTGGTGACTGTTTGAAATAGATACAAAGTGGTTATCTTTTATCTTTTCTGAGGCTGATTACTAATACTGGGATACAATGGAGTTTTTGTTTATGAGTAAAATCAAATGTTTCAGTTCTGTAATTCCCTTTACTTACAGCATAGTGTATATAAGTTTTTGAAATCCATTCTGTTCTCCAAATCGAACATAGCATATTTCATTTATTCATTCACTGACAGAACAGATGCAATCATTAGATTTATTTCTTGCTCAGAGTATCTATGTGATTACAGTCAATGTTTGCTGGAACTTTAAACTGCAGCAAATGGATTGGCATTATTATTAAAAATAATAATTATTAATGAAAATCTTCTTTATAGAAGTATGGGTAAATTTTCTTTAACTGTACTTTGTCCTATGCCCAGACCTCTTACCTGTGTTACTTTTTCTGTCACATTGTGTGTCCTTTCCTTCACTTTCGGTGCAATGATGGTCTTCTCTGATGAAGGTGGTGATGAACTCTTCTTTTCAGCTTTTATATCAGAAAAGTTCAGGGTGATTTGAGGAATCTTGCTAATTGTGTTATATTTGTTGAGATTAGAATCTGATGTGGAACCCAATAGACTTGACTTGATATGATTAAAAGGGCCTGAGGAAAATTCACAGTAAAATATGTAAGGATTTATTCTGCACACCAGTTACTTTATACAAATTCACATTTTATATTATGTTCTCTTAAGATGCAATAGTAGATTGAACATTTTGACTATCCTTATCCTCATCAATTTAATAATAATGATAAATATATAAATTACTAATTTCAGTTATTATAGTTGAATGCATTTTCAAAGTTTATGAACTAAAGAAAATCTGTTCACAATATTCTTGAATGATTGTTTACATCTGCTCGAAGTATGGAAATTCCCATCGTACATCGTACAATATCAAATGCAGAACATTAATTAGATATATTGCATGCAAGCTTTTGTGGGTACAAATGCCCAACTCATATTATTTGGAATTTACTAAAAGTAAAACTATGAACAGGTTATAACATACTCAATAAACAGTCAGTTAATGGTCATTGATTGATGAACAACAGTTGCACCTATATTTCTCCTAGAGTTGAGAACTGTAGAGTTCAATAACATTTGTTATTTTTACACGTTCAATATACATCTATATTTTGAATGGCTAAACAAATGCTTCAATCTAACAAGTTTCTACAAGTCATCAGTATGAGTTAACAGTGTTTCAAAACACATGCTTTACAAAATTAACTTCCTGCCATCAGCTATGATCCATGAATGAAGTTATGTTACCACTTAAGATCGAGTAGCATTTTGTAACTAAAATGAATTTTACATCCTTATTTCCATTACACTTACGCTGTTGATTTCAATATTGTGGAATCTGCTTATACAAACCACATGACATTTTTCCATTTGTGCTAACTGAAATGATAGTGCCATTTGATTATACATATCCTTGTATTTTTATGTGCTGTTACTTTGTTTTAAATCTGTCTTTGGTTTCCTTGACAAGGATGTTGCAAGGAGTCTTTACAAATTCAATATGAACCAGGTTAAAAAAAAAACAGCACCTTTGTCTGATTAAACTGAGTTTGAGAACTCGTAATGGTGAGCTAACTCTGCTCTTTGTGCAGCATGTGTGTACTTTTCTGTGCTTTTACAGTTCTACAGTATTGGGCTGTTACTGTTGATAACATCGGTTACCTGATAATTAGATTCAGCAAATAAAAACCAAAAGAACTGCACATGCTGTAATTCAGAGACAAAAATAGAAATTGCTGGAAAAGCTCAGCAGGTCTGACAGCATCTGTAGACAGAAATCAGAGTTAATATTTTGGTTGAGTGACCCTTCCTCAGAACTCAATTAGATTCTGCAGTTTAATGCCATTTAATCAATAATTATCAAATAATGAACAAGAGGGTTTGACAAACCTGTTTATTTCTAGGTGCAGGAAGAAATGAGTACTAACTGAAATATTGTCATGACAAAAATCTTCCGAAGTTAACTCTCACATAAATTAAGTAAAGACTTCTCTGAATTTGCAGTAAAAAATCAACAACATTTGTATTTTTCTTAATGTCTATACTTTTAATTGCACAATTAAATTGTTTCCAGATTAGTTAACAGCTATGGCAACATTCTGAGGAAGCACCAGAAGTTTACCAAGGGTATGATAGCCAGTAGCGTAGGTTTGGTTCTGCAGTGATAAGAAGTAAATATATAGGTCTTTGTTAATAACCACACTGTCAAGTACATCATAACACAGCATATTCTAGTCAACTTATTGGTGAAGAAAATAACCTTTAAGCTATATTTTAAATGGAAAATGACACTAAGCCATGGCATAATATGATACACACTTGCAAAAATAAAGCTCACATTGTTAAATTGTTTGTCTTTGTTACAGTTGATGTAAGATTAATCCTGTTGCTTGACCTTTAAGAGAATTGAACAGAATTCTGATTATATTGAGCATTGTCTCACATTAGGAAAGATATTATTAAAAATACTAGCAACATAACTAACATTATTTGGCACCTGAAAATGGCAAATATGACCTATTATTGAAGATAACAGAATTAAAAAAAAGGCAGTTGTTTCTTTTCATTGTGGTTCCTTGTTGATGCCAAGTAAGTCTCTGCTTTATAATTTCCCTCTATTTTCAAGCTAATTCAAAAAGTGCATGTCAAAATGCTGGAAATCACTTAAAATAGATGGCAGTGACAGTTCAAGAATCAGTGTTAGATCAAATCATAGCTGCAGTGAATAATGGACAATCTCAGATATCCTGATCATGCTATCTGTCAATATGATAAATGTCAGTGTCATAGATGTTATAAGCATATTTAATAAATATTAGCTTGTATAACATTTACAGCTCAGGTCAGAGACATGAAAGTGGTGTTAACATGTTACCAGCTTGACTTTAATTTTTGATCAGTACATCTAAAATTGAATTCCTGAGGTGACATTTCTCAATTTAAGGCAGCCATTATTCAGCCTTTATCTGGGCATTCCATTCAGAAAATCAGATGAAGATCTGACACATTTTCCTGAGAACCTTTATCATCCTCCTTTGGAGGCTGCAGTGGTTGTCATTGCCAATAATCCTCCCTCTGCAGCATACCTGGTGCTCTATGATGCTGTTCTGCACACCGTACATTCACCTTGAGATTTCCCCATTACTGCCTTTCTTTATTTCTATCTCTACCAATTCCATTGGCTTCCCCCACCAAGCCATGGTGTCCCATCTTTCCTTCTGGTAGTGATCCTCCTGCTGCTCCGGCTGGTGCCTCACCGAATTTTCCTGAAGGATCAATGGATGGACACCTAGGACAGCATTCTTTCCAGACCTGTGAACAATTTCAACAAGCAACCTCTAGTTGGGACTGACCTAGATTCCTGACTATTATCTTTGAAGCTCCCTGACTGATGATACGTGATTCTCCCGACTGCTGGTGCTGGCACTACAGGAACTGGTCACTGATTGTACCGGGAAAGATGCCCCTCATACTTGAGCATCCTAAGTGGTTGACTGACTGTGGTAAAGCCCCTGGACTGTGTTTCAACCTTTGCCAATGACTGACAGTTTCAGACCCCCTTGATGTATAGCGGCCTCCCCTCAAATGGACTGAAGACTAGCTTCCTCCAGTTTCCAGCATGATTATTTTGTTGAATAAACATGGTAGATTGACATGCAGGCAGCTGATATATGCTCTAGGAGGTAGATTGACATCTCCATTTCCCAAGATGTTGCCCCCACCACCAACCCTATCACCAGACAGATCCCTGGTGACAAGCATGACTAGCAACCTGTCTGTGTCTGTACAAAAGACCACTTCAAAACAGCAGTATTGTTAGTATTTAGTTTTGGCAGAACTGCCAATGTGCCAACAGGTATGGCATGGTAAAGCAATGCAAGGTAGGATGATGCAGGCATGCAGGTTGGCACAAAGTAAGAAAACAAGCTAGCAGTCCTGAGATCTAGCCTGTCCAATCCAGGATCGCGGTGCCTGTCCATGCACCCAATGTGTCCCTGCAGCCTTTCAATGCTAATTGCTTCTTCTTCATGATAGATGTTACTTCCTGTCTGATTCTACCACACATCTTACCTTAGCCTATTTGCTCGGACCCCCAATAAAATTCTGCCGAATGTCTTCTTGTTCTAAAAGTTCCCATTAGAGGAACTAGTTTGTTTATCTATCCTATTGAATCTCTTTTTAATTTTTAATTTATCAACTTGATCAAGAATTGTGTGCAGAGGCGAAGCAAGTTGGGACTCTACTTAGAGATAGCAAGAACTGCAGATGCTGGAGTCAGAGTCAATACAGTGTGGAGCTGGAGGAACACAACATGTCAGGCAGCATCAGAGGAGCAGGAAAGTTGACGTTTCAGTACGGGACCTGATGAAGGGTCCCGACCTGAAACGTCAATTTTCCTGTTCCTCTGATGCTGCCTGACCTACTGTGTTCCTCCGGGTCCACACTGTATTGACTGGGACTCTACTTGCTAGTGTTTAGAAGAATGAGAGGCAATCTCATTGAAACATATAAGATTCTTAGGGAGCTTGACAGCATAAATGCTGAAAGGATGTTTCCCCTCATGGGAAAGTCTGGGACCAGACAGCACAGTCTCAAAATAAAAGGGTTCCAATTTAAGACTGAGGTGCGGAAGAATCTCTTCTCTCAGAGGATTGTGAATCTTTGGAACTCCTTGCCACAGAGACCTGTGGGATAGGGTTCTTGTGTACATTTAAGTTTGAGATAGGTAGAAAGGTTCTTGATCAACTGGCGAATGAACAGTAATGGGGAAAATGCAGCAAAGTGGACGTTAGGAATATCAGATCAGCCGTGATCCTATTGAATGGCAGAGCAGGCTGAAGGAGCCAAACAGCCTATTCCTGTTACCATTTCTTATGATGTTATGGTCTAACTTTCATTCCTTTGAACTGAAGATAATGAAGTCATATATCGTGTGTTGTTATTTTGACAACTCTTGTATCATTCTGCTGAATCTGCAGTCTACCTCTTCAAAGGTCAGTATTTTTTTTCTGAGGTTTGGATTCAAAACTGAGCTCAGAACTCTAGATGGAAACTGATGAAAGTTCTGTTCAACTGAATATCATTTTCTGACAATTTAGTTCCATTCCTTGCATGATAAAGTCTAATTTTCCATTCAGAATTTTGATTACTTTTGTATCTGTACAACTGCTGTTAGTGACTTGTGCAAACAAAAACATAAATCGTTAGTTCCTTGACAGTTCTTATTTTCTCACCATTAAGAAAATATTCCAAATTATCATGTTTAGATCCAAAGTGAATGATCTTACACTTTCCCAGACTGAACTCCATCTGCCATGGTTTTGCCCTGTCACTCCATAATCCATTGTAATGTTCAACTTCCATCCACACAATTTAGCTGTGTCTCCAAATTTAATGTAATCTGTGAACCTGGATATACATTTGTTGTGGACAGGGGAATGATATTGGGTTCTCACTATTTACCACTTCTTAATTAGCCACAGATAATAATGTTTTAAGGAGAAAATATTTAATATTTATATATGACCACTCCTGGTACCTTATGTGAATTGCACCTCTATCTGTATATGGTACT